GCAGGAGGGTGCTGGGGGGCGCAGCTAGCACAGATAGGGGGCTGAGCTGCACCTGCCAGATCACTTTCCTCCTCTGCCTATGTCCTGGAGTGCTGTCCTACCTAGCATCGGCAGGTACCTGCCTCGTAAGAAGGCCCAGATAAGGCAAGATTGGGCAGGCAAGTTGCACCTGCATGGCTTTGCTCTTACTTCCACTTGCCGAAGCGTGTTACCAGCACTGGCAGTGCACTCACTATAGCCACGGTAGTCAGCCATCGAGAAAGTTGCATTCATTCGTTTATCGTCAACACTCCGAGTCCTACCGAAGCGTTGCACCCATCGAAAGCAGCCCTAGAACTTAGCCTTTGTCTTGACCTGTCCAAATTCAACCTTATTCGTGCAGACACCGACATTTTCCAGCCCAACTTCAACTACATCGCCATCTTTCAGCCACACCTGCGGCTTGCGGCCCATGCCAACACCCTCCGGACTATTGCGATCAGCTTTGTCTTCTTCTTCTTCTTCTTCTTCTTCTTCTTCTCCTGCTGCACAGCGCAGGACGTGGGCGGCAGCAACTTACGTTCCCGTGAAAACGATATCACCCGGCACGAGCGTCGTCCCCTGACTCAGCAGCGAGATGGTCTTTCGAATGCCAAAGATCATATCCGCCGTTGTCTGATTCTGCACCGTCTGCCCGTTGACCTTGGTTGAGATGCGCAACCTTTGCGCGTCGCCAATGGCGGCGCCCGTCACAATGCCCGGGCCCCACGGCGCCCATCCGTCGTATCCCTTGCCAAGAGACCACTGACCGCCGCCGCGCTTGATCTGCCAGTCGCGGTGCGAAACGTCGTTGCCGACGGCGTAGCCGAGCACGTAGTCAAGGGCGTCTTCCTCGGAAACGTCTGTCGCCTGCTTGCCGATGACGATGACAAGCTCGCACTCGTAGTCGAGCGTGCTGCCGGTCTGGGCGATGGGCGGTATGGTGATGGGGTCCGAGGGACCGGTCAGGGCCGTGGCGGGTTTGTACTATGTCCGGGGTCAGGAGAGCATGCGGAAAGGGGCCGAAGGAAAGACGCACAAAGAGGATGGGGTACGTCGGAATAGCCATGTTGGACTCCTTGGCATGGTTGGCGTAGTTCAGGCCCAGACACCGCACCGTCCGGACGTGCTCCGGCGCGAGGGGCGCCAGTAGTAACCGGATGTCGGCCACCTTATCGGTGACATTGTGCTGTCCAAAGATGTCACCTGTCACGACCCGCGCCTGTTTGGCCTTGGAAATGTCCTTGGCACCAGCAGGCAAAATGGCATCGCCGTAGTACGTGATTCCGTCCTTGGCCAGGAAACGGACCAGTCGCTAGATGCTTCAGCGTCAGCCTGGCGGTGTCGTACTTCGTGGTCCCGGATCCCCTAGAGGCGATGAAGCCCATGGATGGTGCTATGGCCCCACTTACAGAAAAGGCGGGCATGGCGGGCGTCGGAAGAATTTGTTGAGTAATCCGACAAGTTGTTTTTCAGCCGGCAAATAAGGTTCAAGATGAATTGACCTCGAGATGATGAGAATGGGAAAAAATAGAAGAGACCACGAGTTGCGATCAGACGCAGATGCAGAGCAGTGTCATTGCGTGATGCTACCCCAGGACCGGCGCCCAAAGCGGTTTAGCTCGTCATGGAGCTCCCCCGAATGCCGATTGAGCTCCGTGGAGCGCCAGACGCGTTGTGGCTGACATCACCATTTGAAATTGAAATCTTTCTGTGCCCAGGGGATTTTGCTGCCGTTAGGGAAACACAGATATCCGACGACAAAATTTGGCCCAGACACCACAACGTCCGCTCGTCGTCATCAACACACACCATCAATCAGTCATCTACAAGCATGGCCGTGTCAAAGAGGGGGCCTTTTCAGGCCCTCCAGCGCGAGGTCCTCTCGCTCTACCCGCCAATGCCCTGCGCGGCATCCCGCAGCAAACCCGAGGGTTGGACATGGCTCTCACTGATACTCTCTCTCTCTCTCATGAGGCTTCTGCGACTGACCGGGCCCCCAGGACAAGGAGGCAGCACTTTTCAGTCTTTT